CGCTGAGCTGCTGCCGTGGACACACGTGTTGCTTGAGACTCTAAAGGAAAGGCTCACACATGATGTCTTTATTGTGACAGCAAACTCGTATCAGAGGGAGCACAGCCCACACCACGGCAATCTGTGCTCTCCCCAGGAGCACCCGAGACGCCTCGGACCCAGAGCCGGCTGGCGGCCCCAGCGCGGTGCAGCACAGAGCAGGGGCTTCCCGAGGCGGTCCAGCGCTGCGGAGTGGCTGGGGGTGCAAACACATGAATCGTAGCTGCGGGCGGGAGAATATCAGGTGCATCTCTACGCCCCGAGGGCTCAACTCCTACACTTAAACCCCTCCCACTGGCACTGCCGGCTCCAGTTTCACCGAGCAGGCGTGCGAACAGGTCCTGCTTCCCGCATGTCAGCCGCAGCCACCGGCGCCCGGACGGCCACATCCCCCGCTGCCCACCTCTGGTAAGTGCTGTTTCTTTTCAAATTCAAGTTTTCTTTCAAAACGGCTCTCAGATGTATCTCAGAATTTCTGGCTGAATAAATCGCCTGCCCGGTGTCTCTCTGACCTGCTCCCTGCTCTGAGGCTTGCTCAGCCCGGCAGGTGCACTGCTGGGACGCAGGTCACCATTACAAAACTCCTAACAAGGCTGAGACTTTATTCTAAGACTACGAACAAGTTTATCTGGAAATCAATTCCTCATTTCTGCCATATAACTCATAAGAGTTAAACCAAAACACAAGTTTATATTATGGCTTAATTGTTCCTTACCTTAAAAGTAAACTACGATAAATTTCAACATAAAAGAGGCAAAGATCATATATATATATATATATATATATATATATGTACATATATATCAGGTGATTTTAATTTCTAGATTTTTTAAACTTTAACAGTTTAAAACAAGTACTGTTTTGACATTAGCTTAAAAAACAAAACTTTGAAGAGGTTAAGTTCTTGTTTGGTTGTTAAGATTTTACATATGTACACACACACACACACACACACGGGGAGGGGGGATGGCTTGTCTTTATGTGAAATTCACACAGATCTGATCTGTATGAGAACAATTAATGACCAAATCACTGGCCAAATCTGACCAAAGTCAGGCTTCATTTAAGCAAAATCTGTCCACTCTGTTATCATAATTTTTACTTCTCACCAACAAAGGCCTTCCCGTGTTTCAGGCTGGCTTTTTAAAGACAAACGGGGCAGGCAGGTTCAGCTCCAGTGGATACGCATCCAGCGTTTTAAGCCGTGTGCGTTCACCGTTGAGAGCTTGCCCGTGACTCGGGGGCCCCCCGCTGAAATGAGATAGAGCCCCTGGCTGTTTTTCTGGATCCATTCCTCCAAATTATATTCCAGAAAGCTGTCTTTCTCCCTGGGTCATGGCTGTCCTCACGTTTATCCTTCATTTTAAAGAACCGAAAGTCTGGGAGGGAGTGGCGGTCAATCACTGGAAAAGCTCAATCGCAGAAAAACTCACAAATCTTGTTCTTGCGACACCCCAGTGGGTAGGCGACAATGGCGTGTCCTTGAGTTATGCAATAACGCCACATCACAATATTGTAATTATAGCAAGCCCTTCAGAACGTTCTAGCTGGTGAGGTTCCCTGCCAGACAGCTGGACACCAACAGGAGCACTGCAGCATTGCTTCAGTCCACAGGCTAATGCACATGACAGGCAGAGCTGCCCAGCCCGTCACAGAAATGCCCTAAAAAGTCAGGCTATAATTACCTCCATTGTGTCCTACCGAAGCTCTTAAAAAAAAAACCTCTCTCGTCTGTATTTCAAAGTCCAAACTCCTTAGAAACGTCTCAGACATGCCAGCCACTCGCTATTATCCCAGCGACCGGCAGCGACGTAGCTGTTCACACTTAGGGACCTGTCGAGAGAGGGTGCGCTGGCAATTCAGTGCTTTGAAAATAAAAGCCCTGTGGCCAACCGAAACCACAGGCTGCTCGAAGCGCTGTGTGGGCAGTTATGCCCAGACGGGTGCTCAGGGAACAGGAAGAGGAGCACGCTCTCAGCTCCAGACACTTTCCAGGGGCAAAGTGAATCTGCTGAACACAGGCGCTTACAACACCTAGAAAGTCACAAAGGGGCATCTGCAGACACTGCGGGGAAACTCCGGTGAAAGCTCATGCTGGACCCTGTGCATGTTTTCAAGTCACTGCCCCCCACACACACTCTTATGCCCTGCAGTGTAGACACTGTCTCCACTGGTGGCATGGTCTGAAATGATTTGGAGAGGAAGGCCGCCAGGCGGGGCCGGGCAAGGAGGGATCTTGGAGAACAGAGCACAGGGGAGTCCACCCCTCTGGGGAGCAGGTAGAGGAGGGAACCCCGGCAGCATTTCAGCAGCAGGCCCCTGGGCCCAGACTAGAGCCGGGCAGAGGTGTCTGCACTCTTTGCGCCTCCAGCTGGCCCAGCGCGGTGACCCAGAGGCAGGGGGAAGCCTCCCTCAGGGTCACGCTGGTGCCTTCATTTTAAACGTGCGAATACCACAGTTCCCAAACTTTGGGTGGTGGGGGGAGTGAGCCCCCAGCGGCTCAACAGTCAGCTCTCCGGGTACTGACCGGACAGAAATGTGCCTCCTCCAGGAAAGGAGCACGTCAAACACCTGTCTTGCTGCCTCTAGAAAAACCTGGCCTCCGAATGCAAATCCAAACTTACTGTAAACACTTACAGTTCTGGATTATGCTGTTGTGGCAATAATACACTGTTTGGAACATGTAGCACTGACAGCTGGGCAAAGACAGAGTCCAGCGGGAATAAGCTGACCAGACGGGGGCGAGTCAGGCCTCTGGGCCACAGACAGGTGTGACCGGCCGGCCCCGGCGGTCAGGTTCAGTTTCTTCTCCCTCGCAAACCCCACGCGGGCAGGAGACGGCGCTCCCGCTGACATCACCCCCGAAGCTCACGGGGCCTCGGCTCTGTCCCACTCACCCGACGCCGCTGCAGTTTTATAGATCAAGCGAACTGCACGTCCCAGTCTGAGCCAGCCTGCTCCCTGTTTCATCAGCACGTTGTGCAATCCCGAGCAGTCAGTTTATCCAAGGTTACCAAAACTGCTGCCCCAAGACTCTGTTTTTAAACAGATTCCCTCTGAGTGATTAAACCCTGCAACACTGTCCCTGTGCAGGAGCCGGGGGGTGGGGGGGCACCTGCCTCCCCAGACCTGGCTGCCGCCCGGCGAGCACAGTAACCACAGGACAGAACGGCAGGGTTGAAAACTTCAAAGACAACAATATTTGACTAAAAAATATATATATATTAACATAAAAGCAATTATTTCCCAAACTATTCTCTTGGGTGATAGTTGGGCAACTTATGTAAAACTTGCCTCCTGTGAGACTTTTGGGAAAGCTTAACCAATATGGGCTGCTTATTTTTATTTTACTTACTTTTTTTTTTTTTTTTTGGCTGAAAGTGTCGGCAATATGAAATGACACTGCTTCTGAAACTGAAGTCTTTACTTTCTTAAGCCCCGAGGGGATTTTTTCCTTCCAGCTCTCTCGTTCTAGAGCTGGGGGTGGCGTGTCTGCGTCCACGCCTGGTATCGCTGGGACGCGGCGCTCGCCTGATAAACGTTTTGTAGCTGTCATCATTTTGATCGTGATGCTTCCAGCTAGAGGTGGAATCATCGGTTTTCAGATCTCTGCCGTGACATATCCTACACACCCTGGGAACCTGCCTCGCAGAGGTTCCCACGCCTCCGGAGCCGGGAGCAGGGCGCGGCGAGCCCGCACAGGCCCACTGGCTCACCCGGCCGCCCCGCATTCGGCTGGGATCAGGCCCCGCTCCGCCGGCTGCCGCAGGGAGGCCCGGCAGCCACTCTCCCTCCCGCCCTGGGCAGACCTGCCCCCAGGCACAGCCCCAGCCATAAAGAATTTTTCCCATTTTCTCTTTTAATAAGGGGGGAAAGTGGAAAGACAGATTACTGCACATTGGGTCTGCTTGGCTCTGACCCGGCACCTCAAGACCTCTGCACACAGTGGGGGTGCTGCCGGGCGAGGGTTCTGGCCCCAGGGTGTCGCCTGCCCCGACCCGCCAGCTGGAACTCTGTCCCCCTGACACCCTCCAGGCCTACGGGGCAACCAAACACCTTACTTCTCACCCAAAACGCATGCCTCGCCCTCACTGCCACGCAGGAGCTCCGTCCACCAGCACAGCCCTCCTGTCTGACCAAGCCACTGCCTAGTAAGTAAGAATCAGTTCTAAGAACTGAGAATGTGTTAACAGAGGCAGCTGGCAGTGGGGAGAGCACAGTTCTCTGCGCTTTTAAGAAATCTGAATAAATGAGTGGAGAAACCAGTTTGCTGGGAAATCACCATCAGCAGGCAGCTTTCTCAGAATTCAGGGCATCCATGTGAAAATCAAGGCCCCATTCCTACAGCTGCTTCGCATGACCTCATCTGGGCAGGGTGTGTGTGAGGCACGGGGACGTGGGTGAGAGTGACGTTTTATTTGGTGACAGCAGACCTCTCAGATTCCTCATCCACATTTCTGTTTAAAAGGCTGCTTTTCAGTGGTCTGTGCTGACCAACGCTGTCCAGGAGGAGATGCTTCGTATATGACGTCTCACAGAGACGCAGAACTGAGCATATTTGCTCATGCCTTACAACAAAACCAGCTGAAACAGTTTTCTTAAATCATTTCCATTTAATTTTTAAACTATTGAAAATATCTGGAAGCTAAATACCTTTTCCTTTTTACATTTTTTACACAAATTAAGGTGCACAGCCTTGATCCACGGCACCAAGGTCCAGGCCCTTGCCTGCACGCCCTCGTCCGGGCACAGTCGAGGGCCTGTAGACCCAGGTGCCGGGCCTCACGCCGGGTTAGGAGAAGAGGGAGCACCCGGGTATGTGCACGGCAGCCTTGAAAGGAAGCCTGGAGCTGGAGAGGGGAGAGGGACACCCTCTGGCAGTGTCCGGACAGCTGGGCCAGTCCCAGCACCAGTGGGCATGGCCAGAGGCCTGGGCCCACTTCCAACAGCGTTCTCCCACGACCCCACCACTTCTGAGACCGGTACCCAACCCTGCTCTCTCTGAACGCCAGGGCTGCGAGGCTTTGGTTTTGCCCTTTGCAGGAGTGTCCTGGGTGGCAGGGCGGGGTGCACACGGGAGCTCCCCAACATCAGCAAGGGGTGCAAAGCATGGAACACACGGTCACCCTGGGACGTAAAACCCACCTCGACAGCACTTCAAACCACCTGTGTTGACACCCAGGATTAACACTCATCCTCTGAGAAACAAACGCTACTTAAGAGTACAGCTGAGTTTTCACAGGTGGCTCTGGAGGCAGCCAGAGCAGAGCTGCCTGCTTCCACAGAAACACCCGATCACAGATGCACCAACGTGGTTGAGTGGGCAGAACTGCCACAAAGCATCTAACTGAGGGGCACAGTCACACGGTCACTGCTTCCAGCCTGTGAGCTCACGGTGGTGACGACCGCTGGGGCAGGGCCGGGGAAGTGGAGGCAGGGGCTCAGCCCCTTAGCCCCAGGGGGCAGGGCAGGGGGAACTCTTGAGGAAAGGGGCAGATCTCAGGCAGATCACAGCCCCCAGACTCAGGGAGCAACAGGCACTCTCAGCACTGACAACAGCACTCCACACACCACACTCCTCTGGGCCCCAGGCACCTCCTTCAGGTCAGGTTCCAGAAAACAGAGAACACATGGGGAAGCTGGCAGCAGGGCTCTCCCAGGACAGAGCTGCACCACCGAGGGAACAGGGGGTAGGGCTGCAAGTGTGCTGCATGCCAAGGCTCTGCAGGGACGTGAGCAAGGTCAGACCAACTTTTCACGAACCCACTAACCCGCCGTTTGTCCGCAGTGCAGCTCCGGCCACCCGACGCATGAGACCCTCCCGGGCAGACCCTTGGCAAGTGGTGGAGCCGGCGCCAGATACAGTGCTTAGAAAGGAAGGGAGACTCGGGCTTTGAAAACCACACGTCCGAGTCAAACAGGAGTCAGCGCTGACCACGCCACGCAGAAGACCAGAGGCGAAACACAAGGAGGTGAGATGAGTCTCCTCAAGGAGCGAAAGCCAAAAAAGCCTCACTACATCCCCAGGCCTCCAGGAAAGCCCTTCAAGTACAAATGCTTCCAGTGTCCCTTCACTTGCAACGAGAAGTCACATCTGTTTAACCACATGAAGTATGGCCTCTGCAAAAACTCCATCACGTTGGTGTCAGAGCAAGACCGAGTGCCCAAGTGCCCCAAATCTAACTCAACAGACCCCAAGCAAGCCGCCCCACCAGGGCCCCCGGCTCAGCCGGCCTCCTCCAAGCCTGTCACAAATGGACTCTCCAACTTCGACACAAAGCCCCAGCACAGCTTTGCCAAGGAAGACACCAAGGAAAACCTAGAGCTGCAGGCTCGGGGGCCGCACAGGGGCCCGGGACAGAAGCCAGCACTCCGCAAGGACACGGCACCCCCAAGCCCAGCTCCAGAAGCCGGCCTGAGCACCCAGCCTGCCCTGGACGGCGTGGTCCGCCCGTCGGCGTTTGTCCCGGTTGGGGAGCACAGACTCAAGGGGCCAGAAAGCACCGAGGCACCGGAACTGCTGGCATTGACCAGCCCCACCACCAAGGCCGCAGCTTTCCACGCCAAGTCTGCGTTCCATGCACCCGGCTACCCCTGGAAAGCCGGCTCACCCTTCCTCCCTCCAGAGTTTCCACCTAAAATCTCATCGACAAAGGGGTTTGGGGCCCTTTCCCCTTACATGCACCCCACGATTCCGGAGTACCCACCTCACTTCTACACGGAGCACGGGCTGGCCACCATCTACTCGCCCTACCTGCTGGCCGGGAGCTCGCCCGAGTGTGACACACCCCTGCTGTCACTCTATGGCGCTCAAGACCAAAGACACTTCCTGCCTCCCCCGGGGCCAACCCCTAAGCACCTGAACCCACCTCTGTCCACATACGACCACTACAGATTTTTCCAGCAGTACCACTCCAACTTGCCGATTCCTTACGGATTTTACAGGCCAGAGTCTGCGTTCTCCTCCTACGGTCTCAGACTCCCACCCACCACGAGCATCACGCAAGATCAAAGCCCCCGCCCGCTGGATGAGTCCCCCCCGGTCTACCCAGCCTCGGGTCCCTCCAAGCTAAACCCTCCGAACCCCCACAAAAAACACACAGAGTTTGAAAAAGAAAGTCCAATCCCTGAGGCCAAAGACCCTCCCAAGGCTGGGCAGAAAGACACAGAGGGGGCCAAGATGAGCCCCCGCGCAGGCAGCGCGGCCACGGGCTCCCCGGGGAGGCCAAGCCCCACCAACTTCACGCAGACGAGCCAGACATGCGAGGGCCTGTGCGACCTCTCCAACAAGGCAGCCCCCAGCCCCCTGGGGAGACCCCCCCAACCTGAGCAAGGCCTCACAGCCTTCAAGTCGGTCAAGAAGAGTGTGGAATGCCCACATGTCGTCCAGGTGACCCCCAACAGAGTGGAGTCTCCAAAAAGGTAAGAAATTTCATTTTTAAAACCTCCAAGGTAAAGTGTTGGGCTGACCTCAGCTGGCCGCATTTGCACTTGCTTCCAACTGCTTTGCACGGTCGCTTTGCTAAGCAAGGTCCGCTAAACTTTCTCTTGGCTTCTTCCAGCCTCGGCACCGTGGACGGAGACCCGCTGGCGCAGACAGGCAGCTCCTCACTCCTCGCCGAGGCCCCACCTTCCAGCCCAGAGGACAGCTCCAGGATGGGCCCCCTCAACCTCTCCAAGAAGCCAGCGACGAAGCTGGTGGCCGCGCAGGCGCCTGTGTATGCAGGCAGCTCCCCAGCGGAAACCGCAGGCTTCCCGGAGCTGCAGGACCTGCCTCTCAACCTCTCAGTGCGGGACCCCTGCAACGCCCAGCCTGCAAGGCCAGCCTTCCCTAGTCGGCTGCGAGGCGCAGAGCCGGCTGCAACTGCTGCTCAGGAGACTGAAACGGAGGGTTCCGGAGATGGAAGCCACACCGAGACAGAGCAAGGCGACCAAGACGCTGACGCGGCCCCGTCAACCAGCCCCAGCAGGAAGGCCCCGGACGCACACATGGTGGACAGCAGCGAGGAGCAGAAGCAGACGGCGGCCGTGGCCCTGTGCCAGCTGGCGGCCTACAGCCCAGGGAACGTCCGGGTGGGCGACGGGGAGCCCACGGCACAGGAGGCCACTTGCCCGCAAGACGCGCCCACCATCAGTTCCACGGAAAGCCAGGAGGCTCCGTGTGACCTCAGACCCAAAGGACAAAAGAGGACAAGCCAAAGGGACGCAGGAAAATCCCAGCACGGAGCTAAGAGAGCGAAGCCTAACGACACGGCGCGAGTGCTCACGCTGCGCAAAAGGACCCGGGTGTCCTAAGGCCGAGCGCACTCGCCCCAGCTGTGGCGCCCAGTCGAAGGGACTGCCTCCCCCTCCTGTCTGGTTGGTCTTTACAAACGCAGTTTCCTCAAAATACAGAAACAAGTTGCAATTCGGTCTTTGTAAATATTAAACACAAATATCAAAAGGTGCTTCTACTTTTGATTGTACAAACATCTGTGACACATATACTCCAAGACTGACAAATTAAACTTTGGCTCTCATTTTCATAAAATGTCAAACGAGAAATGTGGAACTAGAAGACATGTGAAACTCTGAGGTGTGAGCCATCTTACGGGAGATCTTTTACAAGTACTTTTCTTACAAATATTTTAGCACTAGAACAAATTGTTTTAATTGGTTTTCTATTAGATTTAGCTGTATGTTTTGAAGTAAATAACAAATACTGAAAAAAAATCAGGAAGAAACATTCTCAGTACTAGCATTAAAGATGCTGTATGTAAAAAAATGTTGTGATTTGTTATGACTAAATAACACACAAACATCAATAGGCTATTTATACAAATAATTTATTTCCATTAGGGAAAATGTATTACTGGTGAAGGAATTCTCAATTGTTCTATTTGCTTATGATGTTACAGTGAATTTTCGGGCTTATTCAGTCTTGTTTTCCATTCCCTAAAATGATGTGTATGTTGCTAATTTTCCATCACTCATGTGAACCTTAAAGATACATAAAATGAAAACAAAATAAACCCTGTGTTATCCGTCAGGAGTATTTTGCCACGATACTCAATGAAAGAGTTTACAGCTGAGGCAACAGAGTAGATGTGTGCATGTGTGAGTGTGTTTGATCACGTGAAGGTGCATGAGCACGTGTGGGAGTGTGTGTCTGTATGTGCTCGTGTAGGTGTGTACGTGTGCTTGAGTGTGCATATGTAAGTACATGTGTGCATATATACAAACTGGTGGCCAAGCGTGGTCATGTGCCCCTCAGGCCTCAGAGCGATTTGGAGACTGTTTCCGGAGCCTCAACTCCCAGACCTCTGCCTGGGAAAGGGCTCTCTCCCTCCCCACGTCCCTTCTCACAGCAGTGTCTCCCCCACTTTGAGAGGCAGGCCCTCCCCCGGCACTGGAAACTGTGCTGCAGGCGCGGAGGACAGGAATCACTCCGGTGACCAGCTGAGAAGCCCTTCCACGACTCAGGTGGTTCTCAGTTCATCACTTTCACCAGGACCGTGGAGGCCCCAGCGAAACTGCCCAAAGGCAGAGCACGCAGTGATCTGGAGCAAACCTGGAAAAAGCTCAAACCACCAGCACAGCAAACGCAAAATTCCTGCCATTTCCAACTACTTATTTATGTGAACAAGGCTTCTCCAGTCCTTTGAGCTGAAAATAAAAAATAGTATTGATGTAGAACCTTGCCTTATTCTGATTAAAAGCATGATTCATCAAAAGCTAACTGAAGCTATTAATAGAAATCCATCTTATTTTATTAAGAGCTGAATTTTAATATAATGCTATTTTATGTTGTTTTGGTCAACTTCGTACTAAAAACTTTTTTTAAACCTAACCTAGAAAAACTTTTAAAAGGTTATTAGCACTTTGGCCAGGTGCGGTGGCTCACGCTTGTAGTCTCAGCACTCTGGGAAGCTAAGGCGGGAGGATCACTTGAGCCCAGGAGTGTGAGGCTGCAGTGAGCTGTGATCACACCACTGCACTCTAGTTCGGGTAACAGAGCGAGAGTTTGCCTCAAAAAAAGAAAAGTTCAGCACCTTACAGCCATACAAACTGTAAAAGTTGAAGTTTCCAGTCACATATTTTCTCTTTGTTGCTGATACATGATAAGGAGATTAATAAAAGATTCTTAAGCACAGAAACACATTCCACTGGGAAAAAGTTCTCTGGGAAAAGCAAATGGAAATGTGACTCACGGAGAAAAAGGAAGGATGAACTTCCTGTGAAAGGAAAACCTGCCTAAGAAATCTTTGATGGATGATGATAAACATGACATTATTCAGATACCTAGATTCCCGAGACATCTTCAGAAGAGTGATGCAACAGGTTTATTTTAAAATGACAGTACTCGGGGTGGCATACAATATGCTTTATGGCTGGTTAGATTTACACAGAACTATATATGCCAACTTGGAAGGGGGATGCAGACTCGCTAGGACGGCTATTATTTTGTAAAAATCCATAAAAGCAAGTGTTGGTGAGGATGTGGGGAAACTGGAAACCTCAAACACTGCTAGAGGGAATACAAAATGGTGCAATCATTTTAGAAAAAGTTTGGGAGTTTCATAAACAGTTAAACACAGTTACCACAGGCTCCAACAGTTCCACTCCTAGGTCTATGCCCAAGAAAAATGAAAACATGTCCACCCAAAACTTGCACACAAATGTTCACAGCAGCATTATTCATATGGTCAAAAGGCAGAAAGAAACAAATGTCCGTCAACCAATGGACAGGACGAAGGGTGGTGCAGCCTTAGGACGGAAACCTGCTCAGCAATAGACAGGAAAGAGCATGGACACACCCACTGCACAGAGGAGCATTAGAGCACACGGAAGAACTCAGACACGAGAGACTACACGTTATAATTCCATTTACAGGAAATGTCTAGAAAGGACAAATTCATGGAGGAGGCAGGAAGAGCATTAGCTGGAGCCTGGGGCTAAACTGCTAGGCAGCGAGGGAGATTACTGCTCGTGAGTACATGGCTTCTTTGGGAGCAATGAAAATTCTCTGAAACTAAATTATGGTGATGGTTATACAACTCTGTAAATACACTAAAAACCACTTAACTGTATGCTTTAAGCGAGTGTACTTCATGGTATGTAAATTATGTCTTAATAAAAAATAAAGCTGTTAAAAAATAAGCAGATTAAATACAAACTGCAGGCTAAGATCTCTTCGTGCATCGCAATGCCACGTGCAAAGCTATCACACCAGGTACCAGCACGGCTCGGTAGTACGCCATGCAGCCACACCCCCTAAGCCGCCCCCAGTTGGGTAGACAGTCCCTCCCTGGGTGCACAGCGTCCATGGTAACGTACCTGGGACGGGACCCTCTCCATCCCTCGCAAACGTCCTTTCCTGCCGCCCATGCCCGGGCCCTCCCCCACCACAGATGGGCTGTACAAGGCAGCCCCCACTGGTCTGGGTGGTGCCCAACACCCACCGTGCTGTGCCCGCCCCCACCCGCTGCACCCACAGCAGAGCTTCCCCCGGCCCTGCACCCAACTCCACGCTGGCGGACACATCACTCAGCGGAGCGGTGCTCTGTGCCTGACGCTGCCGGCACACCCGGCTCCACAGCGCAAGTGCGGCACCGCTGCAAGTGCTCTTCGTGGGCAACACCACCCTCGAGAACAAAAACTGTTTCCAGGGGTAAGAAAATCAGACGCTAGAATGGTTTGAGGCCCTCTAAAACCAGGTGTGCAGGGTATCTGTGGCATTAAAATGTCACAACAGGCAGAAAGGGCAATCAGGAAATTACAAAGACCCATATGAGAAATGAGGTCAAGAGACACAGGTCTGACATGCTCCTTCGTGCAAACGCTTTGTGAATGTTCAAGGCCGGGCCACACTGGGGAGATGGGTTCGGACCCCGGCATGCCCCATATCGACGGGGCTTCGCCTACTCACCCTCTGCAAGTCGAGACGGGAGCAACAGGCCTCTCCTGCCCAGTTCCGCCAGCGCCAGGCATCCGCCATGCCAAGCCTTGTCCGTCTCCTGAAAACTGAGCACAACAAAGACCCTGAAACAGACGTCAGACCCAAGTTCTGTCGGCTTTTGGTCACAGCCCCCAGTGCAGCGAAAGGTACAGGCCGCAAGGCCACATTCTGTACGTCAAGCCTCACTAGACCCTGCTGGTAAATCCTAAAACATCGGCTTGGGGAAGAAATGAAAGGATCCCATTTAACATGAAGAAAACTGCCGCGTTCATCAGCACCTCTCTTCAGACGTCCCGATGATGAGGAGGAATTCTGAGTCAGCCCCAGACCCGAGTGCAGGGACGCTCCAGCCTCGAGCTCACAGAGCAGCACCCCGCTCTTGTTGGAAGTGATAATATGCTTCCAGAAAAGCCTGGGCCTTAAGACAGGACTTCTATAAAATCAAGATTATGTTAGAAAAACGAGCAGGAAGATTTCCTTAAAATGATACCCCACTGTTTAATTTAGTGACCGAATTCTAGATTAAAACATTAGAATGAAGTGGTATTTACACATTCTTTATATTATATGAAACGTGAATTTTTTGTTAGAACTCAGCAAAATAAAATTCCAGTTTATTGTTGGACAACATTGTTTCACACATACATCAAACAGGCCAAAAAAATAAACAAACAGCAACTCCAAAGACAAAAAGAGAGAAAAAAGAAGACTTTTATCTTTAGCCTATTTAACCATCATCTCACACAAACCAACTACTTACAGCAGAGCTAAGCACATACACAAAAAAAGTTCCTGGAATGCTCAGAGTAGACGGCTTTTTTGTTGTTTTTGCTTTTCTTGTTAACAAAGTTTTTTCTCCTTGGAGATTATAATGAACACAGGCACACCTTAGGCAGAGCCAGAAGTAGGACGGAGAACGCTCCAAAGGCTGGTTTGGTCATCCCAGACCATGAAAAATGGCCAACCCCTAACAATATGTATAAAAACGTAAAGTGTGAGTAAAAAATACAAACTTGCTCGAGGTCAGGAGTTCAAAACCAGCCTGACCAAGAGTGAGACCCCGTCTCTACTATAAATAGAAAGAAATTAATTGGTCAACTGATATATATATAAAAAATTAGCCGGGCATGGTGGCGCATGCCTGTAGTCCCAGCTACTCGGGAGGCTGAGGCAGGAGGATCGCTTGAGCCCAGGAGTTTGAGGTTGCTGTGAGCTAGGCTGACGCCACGGCACTCACTCTAGCCTGGACAACAAAGTGAGACTCTGTCTCAAAAAAAATATATATACAAACTAATTTCCCTTTTTAAAGTACTTTTAAGGAAAAAGAGCAGGGCCTTGGATGTTGGGGTTCTAGTTTCCTCCCCTGTTGTGAATTCTCGTGGTTTGGTTGGGTGGTAGGGAACGCATGCCACCTATGGCTGCTTCCTGATGGCAGGTGGCCTCTCCGCTCCAAGGTGACATTTAGATTCTGAGACGGGAAGTAGAGGGTGAACAGGTCACAGCAGCCTTTTTTTTTTAAAGTTTAACTTTTCCCTTTCTGTTGTCTAGTCATCCTCAGTCTTCTGTTTCTTGGTATCGACATCGTCATCCTCATCATCTTCAGCTTCCTCATCTTCATCTCCACCCTCTTCCTCGCCATCACCGCCCTCCTCCCTCATCTCCCTGCCCCCCTACCCCACTGTCCTCATTAGCATTCTCGCTAGCAGGCATCTCTTCCATCCTCGGCTGCCTCCACAACTTCCTCCTCCTCCCTTGAGGCCTTGGCGGTGATCTCGGAGCCGGTGTCCACAGCTGTGCCTGACACTGGGGCGGCAGTGACCCGACGCAGGGACTGAAAGGAAAGCACGAGTTCGTGACGCTGGCGGTAAAGCTGCCGGAGTCCTCGGCAGCGGAGGCAGCTGCAGAGAGCAGGAAGCCGGACCCGGGAACGATGCAAAGATGGCTTTTCAGAGCAGCCAGCCAAAATACAGACTTTTAATGAATAATCATAATGCCAATGAATCAAGTCATCAGTGATATTTTACTTATGATATTTCAATGAAAATGCTCCTGAAGTGGTTCAGAAGCTCTCCCAACACTGCAGCTCTGGCATCGTGGTAAGAGTAACTGTTCCTCACACTGATGAGAGCTATTCTGAAGTTTCCATACTTGACTGCCAGCAGAAACATGGAAACACACTTTGCCAAAAACCAAAGCAAATACAGAGCCTTTACAGATTCTGATTAAGGTGATGGCAGAGGAATGTTTAGGAAAACGAACTAAATTGCATTACTAGCTGGCAATAAAGCACAGCAGCGTCTAGACAGGAGAGTCGAGGAGTAACCGCTCACTCAACAGGTCTTTGGCAACTGCTGCCCATGCGCCAGGCCCACGTGGAGCCCTGGGGAGACCGTGGCCGACAGACGCAGCCGGCCCTCAGAGCCCCCTATCCGCGGAGACTCAACCACAATGATAACGTCCTTTGAGTCCCACGTTTTATAAGCACTCAAAGACTACATGACCATTTTCAAGGCTCCATGACCATTTTCAACATCTAACATGGGTACTTGGTCCTTGAGGACTGTGATTAGAGAGAGGTCCTTTACACGTTCATAAAGATTTAAAAAGATTTGAATGAACTTTGCAGAACACCAACACTATGACAATTCAAATACACTGAAACAAATGTTTGTTAGGCCGATGTCTGTTTCCAAATCAAACGTGTTCGCTGCAGCAGCCGACAGTGGCTGTGCAAGGCAGGCCCCGTCCAGAAGGACCTGCCGATGGCGCCACTGCACATATTATGCCCAGGGGACCCCATCCCCAGGCACCAGGGCACGGGGGAGGCGGCAGCCAAGCGCACTCCTGCCTCAGACCCAAGCCCAGGCGGTCTCAGCAGAGTGGTCACAGCAGAAAACGGCAGGGGCCGTGAGCGGGTAGATGAAACTAGCTAGGATGAATGACACGAGGCCAAGACAGTGAGCTGGGAGAAGGAACACACCGTCCAGAGAAGCAGTAAATGTGGGAGAAAAGACGTTCAGTGAGTTCAACTGGACACGTTCGGCCTGACTGAGCAGAAGGCTCAGTGGCCAGAGAAGAGCGAGATGGATGTGGAGAGCTGGGCCTGGAACCTGCCACGCTGCCATGAAGGGCGCAGTGTCACCAGGCGGCGGAAGGACATGTCCCACCACAGCCAGAGACAAGCTCCGGGGACACAACGAGCCAGCAGAGTCACACCGGGAGAGGCTGAAGGCTTACTGTTCTCTAACCCAGGCGTCAACAAGGCAGTCGCGATAGGGGAGCGTATGTTTTCTGCTGGGAATGTTTCCACCAGAAGAGTATGTGCCAAACAGGCAGCGTTTTTCTGAAAAAGATGGCCAATATTTGACATACTGCTTCCTGCACTCCTTAAATTGTCACTAAGCAGGCTCGAGGCAAACTGCAAGAAGAAACTGCTCCAGAAGGAAGACAGCACCGTGGGCCCCGCGGAGCTGCCCCCGGTGACTGACAGACGATGCGCACGGGAGCGCCCAAAAGTGCTGACAGCGCAGCTTCCCGCCGGCCACAGCCTCCCAGCGACAGCCTGGCAGCCCCAGCTAACGAAGGGCAGCAGTGTGACAGGTCCTGAGCACCGGCAGAGACACTGACACAGTGAGACCAAGCCCCCTGGGGGGGGGGGCCCCACCCGAGCAGGCCAGGCAGCCAGGCTAGGACCCCACACGGCTCGGCAGGCCACAGAGCTCCCCGAGAGGCCACGGCAGACGCAGCGCAGCACACGTGGCCATCCAAGTCTAGAGTTCAATTCATTAAAATCCAATCAAAGTTCAAAGTCAGGCCCCAGTCACACTGGCCTCATTTTAAGGTCTCCGCAACACCTGTGGCTAACAGCCATGCTAGGAACAGATCTAGAATGTTCCATCATTCCCAGAAAGTTCTCTCAGACGGTACAGACTTGACTCTCATTCAACCAGAGTTTTTCCCAGGTGTGCGTGTTCAAGATTGACTTTTCTTTGTCCTAAAGGTTTTTAAATACAGCGGAATTGGTACAAACAACATACTAGAAATAGAGTTCTCAAGTTTAACTTCAAAAGGGAGAAAAGGAAGCTTCTGGGGTCCTGACAAAGAGTTCAACTGGAAGAAAACATAAAAGGATGTAAGGAAAGAAAAGCCACCTCTCCTACATGCAGGGTTAAGACAGAAACACGCCTCGCTCCGGCTGTCACACGTACCTGAAACAATCCAGCACAGACCCAACCACATCGTCCGCCAGCTCTTTGGGGAGCCGTCCAGCCATCCTGCCAATTCTGAAACAAAACAGCAGCTGTCAGTGCCGCCAGTCTGCCGAGGAGGGTGCGCGCCACACGAGTGAACGTCCCTCAGAGCACTCAAAGGCAGAGGCTAACCCAAGCGAGCCCCCCCCCAGTCCTGCTCAAGAAGGCATCACCTGCCTTTCGGGAAGCCCGTCACATTACAATGGGGAGACGGGTGAGGAGTCCACCGCTCTAGGGGGCAAGTGGGCGGCCACACGGTCACCTCAGACCGCAATAGCCCAGACACTGCCGTCCCCCCACGGTGAACAGCACCAAGGCACCAGGGGAACGCTGAGGGCTGCAACCTAGAGCCCACCAAAGGGGCTGGGCTGCCCCGCTTCCCCCAGGCTCTGACCAAGCCCTCCAGCAGCCCTGTGACGTGGGGTCCAGGCTCCACACAAGGGAGCTCTGGGGCCGGTTCATGGCCCAAGTCCCAGAGGAAGGGTCCCGGCTAGAGCCTCCAGAAAGGCCCTCTACCCCTGCCACTGTACGCTCTCCGTCTCGCTCTGCCAGACGTGCTGGATGAGATGCTGTGCGCCAGCAGAGACGCACAGGCCCACGTGAGCCCCACCAGCCCCCAGGCCTGTGGAGATCTTCCAGGAGAGCTTCCAGTAGAACTCAGCCCCTGGCACCGGCCAGCCCCTCACACCCTGCTGTCTCCTCCATGGCAGGGTCTCCCTGACATCTGAATGTCCTTGTGCAGCGTGTTCACGGCCTGGCCCTGCTGGGTCTGCCCCACGTCCTCCACCGAGCACGCCAGTCCGCAGGCAGGACCGAGGATGACAGCGGCCCCACCCACTCAGCTGCCGTGGAGCAGAACCAGACGCTGGCCCTCCCTGCTCACCCCACAAGAGCGGTTGTTCCCAGCACCGTCGCTAGCGGGGGCTGTGCCCCTCATCTGGAAGGGAACAGGAGAGGGCACAGTGATGACGATGTGGAAAAGTAAGGAAGGGAACATTTAAAAGACTTTTTAAAAAGGCAACTTTGGCCTGCTCATCCTTTTGCACACCCCAGCCAGAAAGGCAGGATGACAAAGGGGCCTGAAGTCCCTCCTCAGTAATCACCCTTCACACTGGGGTGTAGAGCAGCGAGCATGGACTCAAACATCACTCTTCTCCCCGTCTGAGGGCCGCGGCTCTCACGCCGCGTGGGAAGCATGTCAGGACTGGAGGCTGGCGGGCACCAAGGGGCCTGCACACCCCCACCGCCCCCCAGGAACTTACCCTTTGGCGGCAGACCACCGCACCACGGTGTCCTTGTCCTTCAGCCCGACCAGCAGCTGCTCTGTGGGGACAGGAGCAAGGTGAGGCCCAGGTGCACCACAGGATCACCAGACCGTGTTCCAGGTAAAGTCTGAACTCCCTAGCCTTAGGGCACCCACCCGGCACACTACGCAGAAGAGTACCCAGAATCGTGGTAAGAATATTAATTTTAACTATAAGAAAAAAAATTCTTTCTCTACGTTTTCCAATAATCATATAAAGCCAATTTTTGCCACTGTTCCTAAGAAGTAGATTCACTGAAGTAGTCAGCAGGGAGCAGCTGCACTCCCCCACCCCCAGGAGAAGGCCCATGCCAAGCCCCAGCACAGAGGGAGGACCCCCAGGGAGGGAGAGGAAGGTGCCCCTGGGAGGGGCAGAGGTGGCCCTGCGTGCAGGGAGGACCTCCCTCTACCCAGGGCAGGAGGATGTGCAGACAGGAGCCAGCCCCGACCAGCTCTGCAACAGAAGCCACCATGGGAGGAAACAGGGCAGTGGGTCAGGAGCTCTGTGAGGGTCAGGTGGAAAAGGGGATTTAAAACGGCTCCTGAGGAAAGCGTGAGGGGCAGAGCAGGTGCAGGGGCCAGGGAGCTGGAGACCTGAGCCCCCAGTGTCCCAACCCACTTCCTTGCAGGGCTGCCCAGCCACCCAGGGCAAGCAGCGCATCCAGGTCAGATGTGTGGGAGCGGCGTGGCAAAGGGGCTGAGACACGCCAGGTTCCGAGGTACTGGGAAGAGAAGGTCCAGAGGACAGGTGGTGGCCACAAGCTCAGTGAAGCCAGCACCAGGAGGGGAAGAGCACGTGGCCACAGACGGAAGGGGCACGGCCCAGACACCGTCCAGGACCAGAAGGGGTCGAGGGAACATGGCTGTGGTCCACGTACCAATCACGCTCTCCACACCCTCTGGGACGTCGTCATCTTCGTGGCAGTTGGAAGGCACGAGGAGTGTCTGCTGCTCGGGCCGGTGCTGAGAGAGGAGCTGCAGGTTAGCGGCCAGAGACCGACAGCCGCGCTGGTACCTGCACAGACGGAAGCATGCTCAGGTCAAGTCGGCCGCTATAACCTGGAGCCTAACACACCCCTATCCCGATGACGAGAATCAACAACTTGGTGTCACTTAGAACCCTAAGGAGCCTGTGAAGTCCCACACGCCCGCAGAGGTGGGGCACAAAGGAAGGAGCCTGCACTGCTGTCGTCAGCTGCCAAGAGACGCAGCTGAGAGGGGGCCCAGAGCACGTGCTCATCCTGGGTTACATGGTAAGGACACACGTGACAGGAACACCACAGAGGGGCAATGAGAATACACCACGAGTGTTGGGCAGCCCCTGCCGAGATCAGCTCACAAGACTGGCCTCTGCCCATGTCACCCTGTGTCTCTCTGTGCCAGGCAGCTGCTGTGCCACGAGCTGCCCTGCGGAGAGGCCCACGCGGCGAAGGACTTTGGGAGCCTCGAGCAAACAGCCTGCAAGACGCTGAACCCTGCCGACAACCAGGAGATGAGGCCGGAAGCAGACACCCCAATTGAGCCTGAGACAACAGCAGCCCTGGCCGACACCTTCAGGGAGCCTCGGGACAGACCCTGACCGGAGGAGCCAGCTGAGCCAACCCAGACTGCTGCCCCACAAAACCATGCGGGGAAAGACGTGTTGTTTTAAGCTGCTAAGTATTGGGGTTCTCTGCCACACGGCAGCAGACAACTAACGCAGCAGCCATCAGGGGACTCAGCAAGCCGCCTGGTGGGTGGCAGGCACTCACATGGCCTCACCATGATCAGCCGGCTCCTCGGTGAGCACGCACGTGGGTCACCTCACAGGAAGAGGGCCCACTATGACGCTCAGTAACCAAAGGCTGAAACTACAAAGATGACAGACTTTCAGCTGCCCTCTGCCACAAACCACGAAACCTGGACAGAGGATATGAACACCCGCAGGCAGGCAGGAGACCACCAAGGCAGGGCCGTGACCCTCAGAGGGGAAGCTGCTGTCTCGCCAGGCGGAGGCTGCGGAGATGGTGTGAGGGGACGGGGTTTGGGGAGCAGCAGCTGCTGAGAAGGACTCCGCAAGTCCACACAGCAGCACCCCAAGCCGAATGAGGACGAGGACAGCCTGGCATGTGTCTGAACAGCGGCGCCAAACGAGGTCATGTGCCTGCGGGGTCCCTGAGAGCTGGGCCCCGTGGGAGGGGACTGAGCTCTTTCACTGGAGACCCCTAAGAGGCTGCACCCTTGGAGCAGGGACCGTGCTGCAGGAACAAGGGCGACACCATGGAGAGAAGAACTGAGAAAACCCACCCAGCAAGGACTGAGACCAAGACTGGGCAGGAAGAGGCAGACGCACCAGCAACCTCACAGTCTGCTGGAGCCAACCCTCCCCTCCTCGCAAAGGGGTACCGATGAGAATGGCATGAAAGATAGAGCAGAAATCTAGGAAGAGATGAAAGTGGGAAAAGTTAGATAAGAAAAAGGGAAGTTAAAGAAAATGGAAGAGAGAAAACAAATAGCAAGATGGGAGACTTAAACCCAATCACGCTAAGAATTACATTAATGTGGCGATAAGACTGAACAAAGTAATCACGACACTAAATTATTTTCTTTCACTTGTGGTGGCTGTTTACGGGTCAGCCCGACCGGACTCTTGGGAGCCCAGTTATCGGTGGTCGCCGGTCTGATCATGTCTGTGTGGGTGTTTCTGGATAAGAAAACATCCGAATCAGAGCAGTCTCATCTGGTCAGCTTGACCCTCCCCAAATACGAGAGGACTCCTCCTGCCTGATGACCTTTGACCTGGAACACTGGCCATCTTGTCTTCAGACTCAAACTGAAACATGCTCTTCCCGGGTCTCAAGCCCACAGCCCTCAGCAGGGAGCCACACACGCCACTGGCTCTCCCGGGTCCCCAGCTGCCGACTCGCCCACAAATCTCTGGTCCTGCTGGCTCCCATCACTGAGCAAGCCAGTTCCTTGCACCAAACCCCTTTCTGTGCGTTTGTACACGTGCCCTGTTGGTTCTGCTTCTCTGGAGAACCCCACCTATAAGCACTGCATCATTCTCCATGGCATTTTAGAAACTGGCACTAACATCCTGCCTAATAAATAGCTTCCTATAGAACAAGGTATATACTGAACCCCAAAAAGCATTTCAGGAAAACATCACTAAAACCCAACATACTTCTTTGGAATTTGCTATAATTCAGAACAAAGGTTGAGCTGAACTTCATCAAATAATTCCTTCCCAAACCATATATATTAATATTCAAAGTAAAAGTGAACATTATTAAAAACACAGCACCCCAAGAACGCTAGAGAAGTCTGTACGCATGGGAGCCAGTGATCCAAACTCCGTCTGTCAGAGCATCCCCACAACAGCAAAACCAGTCTCTGAAGAGTGAGCTTCGTTTCCTTTGAAAGACGCTGTAACCCAGACTCATCACCCATGGACACAGGGCCTCCCCACAGCAGGCCTAGACCTCACATAAAATGCAAAGCAACTTGTTTCCTGGCCCCACCCCAGCTTCAGAAAGTCAGAAAATAACCAAAAGGAAAATCATTTCTTTCAAAATCAGAAACACTTTTGAGCATAAAAGGAAAGATGAAGGCAGAAGACACTCTCTACTAGTCGGCCTTAACAGCCATCATCACCGCCTGACACAAGGGCCACAGTGCCGGCCATGCAGACGGGCATGCAGTCTGCCCACCTGCACGGTACCCACCTCCACGCCGCCACCTTCGGCTTCAGGAAGGTCAGGCCCAGCCGCTGCACGAGCTTCACCCCCAGCTTCCGGAGCAGGGTCTGGTTGCTCTCAGGGAGTCTGCAGCCATCGAGGCACTGGAGGACGGTGGCAGCTGCAAACAAGACAGGCTCGCCTCAGAGCCGTCGGAGGAGGCACTCGGGACCCTTCGACTGCACCCCCAGGTGTGGCCCTGCAGCCCTGAGCCACCTAGCTCCCAGGGACCCCGATGCAGGTGATGGCCTGGCTCGCAATGAGAAGGGGGGACCTTGAGGAGGGGCATGGGATATATATGAGAGCCATGAGGAAGGGGTATGAGGGAGGGGGACGCGGGGACATGAAGATGGGACCACAGAGGGAGCCTTGAGGGGCCTGAGGCCAGGATAACAGCTGCTGGAAGGACACAGGAAACACAGTGGGGCGTCAAAGACAGGCTTGAGTATTTGATGGCACTGGGCAATCACTGCTCATTTTCTCAGGTGTGAGGACACCAAGGTCACGTGCAGGAGCCTGTCTTTTAGAGACGTGTGCTGGGACACACAGAGGAGATAGCGGGGTGGGGCTCGGAGGAGATCAGATGGACAAGAGGCCACAGACTAAAACCGTGAGGCCCTGGGACAGAAAAACGAGTTTGTTACTCCATGTTCCTCCTCTATACCCACTGGAGAATTTCCATGATGAACAACCTTTTTAAAAACAGACTATCGTTCAAATTTGAAAGCCATACACCTTCCTCTCTCTTGCTGCCAGCAGTGAGCCCTCTGTAGAGAGAAGCACTGCCCTTACTTTCATAAATCGAGGCTCAGTGTGAAACTTCAAGAACAAGACAGACAGCACCCAGCGTGGCAGCCGTGGCTTAAGAGGGGCGTGGCCACTGCAGGGTCCCTGGGGGCCAGTGGCAGACGTGGGACTGCGCCCAGCATCACTAGGTGCCCCAGGTGGGAGACACAGGCAGCCAGGTGTCATGAAACCCAGACCCCTAGCAAGTTCCTCTACCTACATCAAATGACCAGGACAGTTTACTGAAAGTCAAATTATTAAAACACACACACAATAACAAAACCAAAGAAATGTGACAGTGTCTAAATATACTTTCAGATTTTTACACCTATGAATAAAACGTTACAGGGACACACTGGATTACATATGGGCAAATGCACATCACAAACATACCTTCTCTCAAAACTCAATCTTACCATAGGGTAAACAGTCTTCACGTTTTCCATGTTTAAATATTTGTGCCTAAGGAAAAAAAAAAAAGCTTTTAAAATGTTGCACATACATTTACAAGCTTAAAACGTAAATTATCAAAACAATTCATTGCATCTTCCAGAATTTCAATTTTAAACACTCACCACCTAGGAACAGGAGCACAGTTTCTGTTCATTACAAAGGAAGGAATTATAAGAGACTGGGGAAGAAACCTCCCACAAGGTCGTGTCAAGGTAGGGCTATGGTGACACAGTCCAGTCCCTGACCAGGGTTACCAGCCTATGAAAAGCAGACATCTCAGCGGGATTTTTAACACTGTCCAGGTATAAAGATAGAAAGGATAAAAGCTACACAAAAGTGAGGAACCCGAGTTTTCATTCAGAAGTCCCATTTATTCTTAGTCGACAGATGAGAAAGGTGACGTCTGCCTCCTCCCTCAGAGCCGATGTGGCCTGGTCACCACACGGGGCCTGGTGCTCCTGGCTCACCCGCCACCTGCCGATCCTCAGCCCACACGCTGCACTCTGAATGAACCAACCCGGAGTCCACCAGAACAAAGAGGAGTGTCAGATATTTCCCTAAAAAGCTAGTTCCAGCCGTCTGAAATCTCAACCTGAAGTGTTACCTTCCGCTTTGCAATCTGGAAGGCGACGGGGTAATTCACCTAAGTTTCCGAGCCCCTTAATCAAAGAAACTCAGAGCTGAGCACTTGTAAGAAGTGGTTCGTGAACTTCCTTTCCTTCAGAAAACAGTATCTCACAGGCAAGGCGAGAACTTCTGTTCTGCACGACGCACTGTGCCGCAGTCCCTCTGCACACACCCCGCCCCCAGCACTGGGACGCTCCCGCCCCTAGCACGCGGCTCGCTGTAGGCAGTGGGTCCCAACGACCAGCATCTGCTCAGCCACGGTGAGAGGACTTCACTCAGCACTGATGCTTTTCATTTTCAAAGAAAACTCTCCAAATCACTTGATTTTTTTAATTAAGTGCAGAATAAAAACATGTTCCAAAAAAGAGGGAGCTTCCTCATACTCTATCCACGGACCCTGTGGCAGGCCACTCCCTAGTGCTGGGCTGGGAGGCAACGGACCAGGGTAGGACGGGCAGGTCTCTGATCCTCCTCTTCCTGAGACCCTGTTAAACAGGCCGAGGATGGTATCCACCTCACTGAGCCACTGTGAGAGTGACACGCAAGTCCGTCAGACACACGCAACCAAAGAAACCGGAAGACCTAACCCCTTTCTTCCTCTCTAGAGAACTGAGTGTTAATATTTTCCTACCAAGTTAATGTATTAATAGATATACCTTGTTTGCCTAAAACCTATTTAATTTTAAGAACTCTTCCATGGATTTAGTTCATGTAAAATACAAAATTAAAAGTTCATTTACTTCACGTAAAACCCAACGCAGCCAACGTCACACACTTTAAACTCCAGTCATCGTCGGCAGAGCAGACACCTGCTGAGCAGAAACGCTGGGGCACACACGAGCAATCCCCACAAAAGGAGCTGGGAGTCTGGGAGTCGGAAGGCGCCACACACGCTCACAGTCCCCGGGAGGGGGCTGGGACATGCGCACAGTGCACACTGCGGAGCCGACCGTACCTGGGGGAGCCAAGAAACAACTTCCCAGAACGGCCGGCCGCCACTCCAGCCAACAACGCTCGCTGGGGAGCAGGACCCCACAGCAGATGATCGCCAAGGAAGGGGCAGGATGAAGACTAATGCAGAACGCAGCTGGTCTGTCGGCACCAGACCCACGGGCAACGGCAGACAGGTACCGCCAGGCCAAGGCAGGAAGGGCATCGACTCGGTACCCGCAGCCCTGTGGTCCAGGCAGCCCCCGAGATGCCTGTTGCCTAACTTAGCATCGACAGAGCCCCCTTTTACTCCCAAAAATGGCCAGTTTGGATAAAAATGACATGGTCACCCTACATGAAAAATGCACTGACACGCCTCCCAGCCAGAGCTGAGGTCTGAAAGGTCTATGCCCACCCTCACCTCGACCCACACCCCCAGGACCGTGGAGGGCTGCTCCAACCAGCACAGCCAGGCAGAGGCAAACACTCTGACTTCTAATCCCAGGGTCTCTCCAGACACTGCCCCTTGGGACACTCCTTCCAGGAAGCCACATGGGGTCACCACGGTCAACCCCTGAGCCCAGCCCGGCAAGGTGCCCACCACACAGAGTTCTCAGCCAAGGTCCAGGCATCCAGGGGCAGAGACAGGTCAATCCCTCCCTATGTCCTGCCTTAAGGGGCCACAGAATCCACCTGTGCAATACTGCAGCTGTCACTTAAGTCACCAGCTTTGGGGTGGGCCACTCCGTCACAGATGAACATGAGACTGACATCCTGCCCTGCAGGCAATGGGTGCTACTCCACAAGCGTAGACAGCAGCAGAGCCCAACCTGACAATCGTCATCCTGGTGGCAGGGCAGAGGACACAGGGAATGGGATGAAAACCAAACGAGAGGTTTAAGGAGGCTGCTGAGAAAGCCCAGGCACGACACTAGGAGAACCTGGACTAGGAGAGAAGGCAAGCAGGGGACAGAAGGACGAACAGGAGAGATATGGGAAATAGCTGGGCGTGGTGGCGCCTGTAGTCCCAGCACCTCGGGAGGCTGAGGCGTGAGGATCGCTCGCTCGCAGCCAGGGGTTTGAGGCTGCAGTGAGCCATGATCACCAGGCGACAGAGTGAGACCCTCTTAAAAAGAAAAACAAAAAGACTTGGGAGATAGAACTGACAGCACTTGGCAATGGATAGAAGCACTCTTTGGTCTCACTCACTAAAAGAATTTAAATTACTATGAAATGCCAAAATGCATACATATCAGCGTTATTCACCAAATTCCTTATAAAGTGTAGCCCAACAACATTCTACGTAAGAGGCTGTAACACAAGAGATGTTGAGTTCTCAGAACAAGTGTTGCGTCTTATAACTGGCATGGACACCCCACTCCGGGGCACCTGCTGCTGGGCACAGGAGGCACCTGCTGCTGGGCACAGGAGGCACCTGCTAGGCTTCCCTGCCTGGAGCACCTGGCCCAGCTCCCTGCCGTCCCCACACACAGCAAGACCAGCGCCAAGCCCCAGCCCCCAGCTCCCATCTGGGGCGGGAGAGAGCTGACACCCATGTTGTGGTGGGTACAAGATTGATTCCTTTTACCCCTACACTTTCTCTTTGACAGAGAAACTGCTCTGGGGAGAATTTCCAGCTGAATTACACAGGGTAACTTGTGGACTCGTGGTACACACAGAGAAGAGTCACAGCAGTTCCTGCCTGGCTCTCCCGGAACAGGCTTGGGAGGGCAAAAGGGGTGAAAAGGAAGGAGTGAAAGTCAACTAAGACAGGGGTTTGTTTCTGTTTTATTCACAAAAAAGCGTCTTCAACATGCTCCACCCGAGAAGGTGTGATGCTGGTCAGCACTTGTGGAGGATGGTAAAAGCGCTCTAGTTATCTGATGGTCTTGAGTATTCATAAGCTAAGCTGTAGCACAGAAGGTGCACCCCACTTTCCATGGAGGCATAATAGAAACCAACTTAAAACCACCTGCTGAAAAGCACACCACACAGAAGCAATTATACCACTTAGAGAGGAGGAAAACACTACTACATGGCTAATGAGAAATGACTGTCAGGTCTGTTTTTGTTGTTCTAGAAACTAACACAGTGCAAGGTGCAAACAAAACGAGTTTCTTAGTAATCATTCTAAACTACCACGCCTCTTGATTGCTATCCTCCCCAGCCTGCTTTTCTGCAATGTGCAAACCAGCTTCCCTCCCCGGGGCATGTTCTCCAAGCCCAGTAAATCACAGGCCGTGGAGCTACTTGGGAGCAAGTTTGCCCACTGCCAAGCCGGAGATGCTGGTTTGAGATTCCCTCCAGGCACTACCAAGTCAAGGCCAACAAAAGCACCTCCACCCCAGGCCCTGGGAGAAAGGCCCCCACGCCAGGCCAGCCAGCTCTGGCATGGCTCTCGCTGGTGAGGAAAGACTTTTCTGGGAGTCCAGGTATCCTGGCCAGCATCACAGCCGACCCCTCAGGCCACGCCTGCTCTGCGCCAATAGATCGCCCCATGCCACGGCCCTGCTCCCGGTCTCTCAGGAAGCCACGATACGATATCATAACTAAGCCGGCTGTGCAGCAAGGCTTCTCCCTGTCTGTCTTCCTGTGTTCTGCTCCGGAGCTAACAGGCAGTATCATGGGAAACAACCAACTGCACGCACTGCCCTCCCCTCCGCGGGCTCAGCAAGCCACCAGTGGGCACGTTGCGGAGCCACTCGGGATACTGGAGCGGGCACAGCATAGACACAGGGGAGGGTCCTCGACACCAGCACCGCCAGTCTAGGCTAGACGCCACGCAGAACATGGCCCTGGGTCCTTGCCTGGCGGCCATGAGCCCAGCCGGGCCAGGCCTTGCGGAGTGAATCGAAGCCCTGACTTCACTGCCTCCTCACGACACGTGAAGGCCCTTCACAGAGGACTCTCGTGAACTCAAGGCTCACCTCCCAGCAGCACGATGGGAAAGAACCCCTACCACAACATGACTGGAGGGAGTCCAGAAAATTACAACTTCTACCACATTTGCTGGTTTGCCAAGTGAGGGGCACCATAAAGGGATCCCATCCTCACCCCAAGAAATCACAGTACCAGTGCCGGGTGGGCAGTGGGGAACAGAAAGCAGGCCCCCTGAGGGGGGTGCAGCGCCCCGCACTGCAGCAGACAAGGCACCACCCGCCCCCGGAAGCGAGCACACACCTGCTCTCCCAGGACAGCCACACGCCACCCGGGAAAGAGGGATTTACAGAAGTGAAAAGCTTAATTGTTGAAACTGAGTTTTCACTGGCTGGGTAAACAGCTGATTCGAATCAGCTAGCACCCAGAGTGAAAAATATACTATTTCAGAAGAAAATAAATTTGTGACACATAAATTATAAATAATTCTAAGTAGACAAACATAAAAATAAACTTTATACAAAAATGTTTAAAGTAAAATGAAATAAAAATAATCACATCTAGCTTGTACCTCC